ATACAGAAAAACTCATTTTTAATGCTACTAACACTTAGATGCTTGCACATGAGTCTCTAATCTCTACATATCTGATTATCACTAGTCACCACTGGTTACTTTCTGAGATCCACCTGAGCATGGATATAAAATCATCTGATAGATTTCAATGTAATGTGTTTCACCTCTACTGACTAACATGGAGCAAATTTTTATGCTTCTTCCTCAAATATAACTAATTTTTTAAATTTGTTGATTTTTTGTGTGTATTTCATACAGAACATCCCAAACAATCTTATTTATCTATTTACCCACATCCCAAATGGTACCCTCCCATAGTCACCCCCACCCCCGACCCATATATTTTAGGAAGGTCAGCTCTTCCTCATCTAGTAGCAATCACTTGCCAATATTCCTTTAGATAAGATTGGGGTCTGCTGTTCATTTTCCCAGTTCTATGCTGCATTACTCTGACAGATTAATTTAAGAGTGTTCGTTAATAGGTGAGATCTCCAAATTGTGTTAGGATTTGGAGGGGGGTTTGTTTGGGGTTTTGAAAATGACAAAATAACTTGTTGGAGTGATAGCACTCTCAGACAATATGTGCCATACTAGCAGCTTTGGAGGTAATTTTCAATTTTTTCTTGGAAGATAAAGGGTAGTTTCTAAATGGCAGCTATAAACTTGGTGACAACTAATTATCTTCCATTTCACAGCATCTGATGATAAGATAAAAATGATGAATACCCACTGTTGCCAGGTAACCGCATCCACTGTGCTCCCTGCCACCTTCATGAATCTGTGAAGAATAGAGAACAAAAGATGGCATGGTGTAACTTAAAATAAATCACATCTGCAAAAATAAGATACACCAAGATATGCATTGGGTGATATGTTTCCTCAGAGAATCATACCTATACTCATGGGAACCAAAATCCTAATATGGCATTCTACCTACGTCTGTCTTCCCAAGCCCAAGCCTGACAGTTCTCACATTGATTTTCCTAAAATCAAAACTTATCTGTGCCATTTTCTATTCTCTAAGGACTCTGATATCTGCCAGGAAACAAATAATGACATTTCTCAAGAATGACACCGCAATAGATGCTTTTGAAAAACTGCAGGCCTATCTCCCCGGAGAAAGCACGGGAAAACTCTATACATCTGCAAGGCACTATCAAGTCTGTCTCAATGAAGATTTGCCACATTTGTCTGAGGATAGAAATATGAACACTACAAAGAGAAATTTATCCACTTCTGGAGCAGTTAAGTAGAGAACTAAGTATCTTCTGATAAACATGCTCAGCTCAAAAGGAAAAGTAAGGCTGGTTCTGAGCAGCTAAGCAAAGAGCAAAGCTTTAGCTAGCAACTGCCCACAGTCTTGTGGCAGGAGGTCCAGGAGAACCGAGTCAGGAGGGCACATTTGTGACTTGCATTTGCCACAGGGCCACATGTCTGTAAATAAGTGTCTACCTCTGTCCCCTTGTTTGAGACCATATGCTGTCATGACTATTCTTACTCTTTGAGTTATCACTCAGGTATAGGAAATCAAAGGAAACATCTTAGTTTTTTAAAACATCCTGTTCAACATGGAGACTCTGAAGAGAAACCTCTCCTTAAAGAGAAACAACATTTTTTAAAATATTATTTTTTAGTTTTTTTAGAAGAAGCATATCATTACAGCTTTAACATGCCCAATGACGGTTTCCAGAGCAAAGACACAGCTCCTTCAAAAGTGGCTATAAAATTTCTAGGTTTGCTGTTGAATCAATAGTTATAAAATATTGAACTCAGTATAAGCCCTGTAAGACATAAAATTGAATGAGTTTACCTCAAAAGAGATCTCCATTTCATTCTAAAATATGCTGTTTCTTACAGAAAAGCTCATTGTTTTTGCTACTAACATTGAGATGTTGGCACATGCGTCTCTAATTTGGATGTATCTGATTACTACTAGTCATAATCGTTTGCACTCGGATCCTTGGCGCCTGTGGATGTCTATAAAGTCATTGGGTAGATTTCAATGGTAATGTTTATCACCTCTACTAAATAACATGATGTAAATTTCCT